AGCCGAACATTTGATGCCAGGAGAAGAAAGCCAGGATCTTGTCTTGTCAGGCCAGAATTTGGAGTCTGATCAACAAAGTCTCCTATTGCTCCCAGCAGGGTCAAATTCTCTGTCCAGAGGTTGCCTGCAAAGTGGACCCATGACCGATGCAGCTAGTGGTTGTTTAGCCCGACAGCGTGTGCTGCGGACTCTCCATTAAACAGCCGTGTGCAGCAGGGTGGTGGCGTATTCTCTCTGTACTGCCCAGGAGACTGTTCTGGTTCCTGCTTCTGGCAGGCCGGAGGGGAGTGTAGGAACAGGTGTGCGGTGGTGTTTGATTTGTGCTAAAGGCCCAGAGAGGCTGTCAAAAGAAATTGTGCTTTTTCTCTTCTTTAGCACAAATGCAGTCCTCCTTGGATAGCTGGCACAGCGATCGCGTTGCAAGGCCGTGAAACCAGAGCCATGGGCAGGGAGTTCTCTCCGCTCTTACATTCTGGCTTTGGTTCCGCAGTCACAGAGCTGCAGTGTCTAGGGCTGTCTCTATGGTGATCCATGGCCCCTGGGCCCCAGGCTGTGAGCGCTACGTTTGCAGTGTGGGCGTCTTCTCTTGGGCGGGAGCCTGACTCCGGTGCCAGGAGAGGGGAGGGGCTTAGAGCCTGCAGCCTGAGCCCGAACGCCTGCACTGTCGTTTTCAGCCCAGCAGTCTGAGCCCTGCGAGCCCCGCTCAGTGGCTGGGCCCTGAGATTCAGTGTCGTCGTTCTGGAGCCAGGGTGCCTGCTACAGAGGCAGGAGAGTTCACGTTTCGGTGCCAAGAAAGTCACCCCGCGCAGGCAGGGAAACCAGACTTCACTCCCGAAACGGCACAGCAGCAGCAAAGCGACTTTCTTACGTGTCTTTGCAAAGTCCTCGTAGCAGCAGCACTGTCAGCCTAGAGCAGGGGTGTCCAAACTTTTTTCAAAGAGGGCCAGATTTGATGAAGTGAACATGCGTGAGGGCCGACCATTTTGCCTGACATTCTTTGAACCATTAAAATTAAATGCAAATTAACTATTTTATGCAAAGTTTATTGCAAACAGCATACTTTTCATTTCGTCACATGGATGACAAATCTAAACAGGTGTTAAATCACTCTGCCTTTCATATCTGAAGGCCAGATGAAAAAAAATCCAGGAAGCTGAAATATATGTCAGGAACATTGTAAAGTACATTACATATTATTGGTAATAAAGGTTGTCTGTCAACTTTTAAGTTCAAAAAATATGAACAGGAACATAACACCAAGTATACATGTTGTGTCCAAATATATTTATAACTGATTTAGACCAACTGACTTTAACTGAGATTTTACAATGTATTCATCTCAATACATATGGATTCATTGGGGGCCATAAAAGATAGATATTGCCAAATTACCCGTGGGGCCATATTAAACCGGAACACGGGCCGGACTTTGGACACGCCTGTTTTAAACACTTGAAACCAACTCCTACCACTGTGTGCCCACCATGTCCATCCTTGCCTACCCAGACTGTCAATTCATCACACCCCACCCCACCTGCTGACCCCCGTTCGCCTTATTAT